AAAACAAATTAATCTAAAAATCCCCAAAACTATTTGGTAAACAAACTAAAGAACCACAGAAACTCTGAAAACCCTTTAACGGACACATTGCGCACACATAAATAACCCTTGAAATCGTTTATAAATGTGGTCTAAATCTATGATAACAATTAAAAAAATATATATATATATTTTTCTTTTTAATTGTTTTTGAGTTTATATTCGAGACAAAAACCAAACAAACTATTTGTACTCTAGATTCAGTTAACAATAACGGTCGGACAAATCGTGCAATATATAGAAAAACCAATTTGGAAATTAACAAAAGAAATCGGAAAAAATCATATATAACTAGCTATAATCTGTATTACAAGAAAAAAAATAAATACACGCACACTGGTTACCACTACACATGTTTCAAATTACACACACACACACAAAACATCACATCACTGTGTATAGCTGTATTAACAAACAACAAATTCCTAAAAGTATTAGTGCAAAGCAATTTTACAAGATCCTGTAGTTTCTAACAAATAAAAAAAAAAACACTCACTCACTCATTCACTTACCCACTCACACACTCAGTCACTCAAGCAAATATCTTCATTCAATAATCTATATAGGTCATTATATTTGATATGTATCAGCAAACCAAAAACAAAAAATATAAAAAATAGCCACAATTAAATTACAAATCCTAAAGGCATAATGCAAACACACCTATAGATATCTGATTTATTCATTCAAAATAGTTCCTAGACCAACAACAACAGCATTAGAGAAACAACAATGTATTGAACAAATTTATAAAGCACCTAATGTATTTATACAATAAAAAATGCTAAAGAACAGCCAAAATACAACAACATTTTATTTTTTTAGTATTTTTAATTATTTTTCATATTCTTTATTTTAAATTATTAAAATTAACGTTTGATTTGGTACATGCTCATCCATTTTCGGACATAGATTGTTGGAAGACCATTCCATTTCAAATTTAGTAACTACAAGCTTTTAGTTCCATTTAAAGATAAATATATTTTAAGACATTTTTAAACCACTTGAATTTTCTCACTGGATTATAAAACAAAAAAATTATATTTGTATTCCAAAATATGCAATATGGTGCTACATTGAAAAAAAAATGCTTGTATACTTGAACACCGAGGGCATACCCGAAAAATTAGTTGAGCTTTTTGGTGAAATGAAAAGGCAGGTGTAGAGAATTGGTAGTATTGGACTTCAACACCGACGGCATACCCGAAAAATTAGTTAAACTTGTCGATAAAATGAAAAGGGAGGTGTAAAGAATTAGTAGTATTGGCTTCTGATCTCATTTACTTTTCGTTCCAATACTTTCTGGGCACAGCAGTTGTCTCAGAGAAAATATAACAATACTCTCGCTAGTCTTGCCATTAAAACAGTAGAGAAACTCTCCTGCAACTTTTTTCTCAGAGAGAAAAAAAGAGAAGAGTGTTTTATTAAAGATAGGAGGAAAATGACCCAAAGAAATAAATAATTCCTAAAAAATTAAAAAAATAAAAAACAAGTACCAAAGACTGTCATGTGGACGCTATACCAAAATTTGAGATTGTTATTGCGAGTTTTAAATACCATATTTGAAACAATCCCGTGGAAAATTTTGCTTTATTAAAATATCGAATATTAGGAGATACTGTTTTATGGAGTAATAAGAAAACGAGGACTAAACCGTTATGAACTAGAAGTTCTGAAATACAGATTTTTTAATAAATCGGTAGTGGGATTCTCTACTTCATTGTTTTTCAGTTACCAACAAATATCGGTGAAATTAAATCACAAAATTATAAATGACAAGTCTGAATTAAACTTGACAACACTGTTGTTACCGGAGGACTTAGCGACTACTTCATTTTGGTCGCTATCTTGATGAAAAATGTCTTTAATTACCGAAATTATAAACATTTTAATTTAACCGATTTTTGTCGGTAACTCAAAAATTGAGTTAGAGAATCCCACTACTGATAAAAATTTTTCTAAAAATGTGTAACATGCGGTAAAAATTCTTATAAATATTTGAGGTATCAGGCAGACGTGTTGCCGTCTTTGTCTGCGATGGCGTTTTTAGAAAACTTTTTTGTCAAAATAATTGATTGAGGTTCATAGCACTGGCTTCCCATATTCCTTTCCCATTTTTAAAAGCCAAATTGCCAAAAAAATAAACGCAAAATCATTGAGCCCCTCTTTTCTTTTTTATACCCTCCATTATACACAGCATGGATGGGTATATTAAGTTCGTCATTCCGTTTGATTATTTTAGCCACATTTTTTAATGAAATTGTCTGAAATTCTACACAAGGAGTTCTCTGTGTTTTTGCGACATGATTAGTCGGAATTGCGTCAAATTTCGTATTTGAAGTTCGTAATGTTTACTACAACCTATGGAGGAAAATTGTCCATGCAGGCCTTATATAAAAACCCCCATATAAAGCTTTGTTTTCGAAGGATTCTTTTTTGAAATTTTTCAAGTTCCTTCCGAATGTTGGAGGGTATAAAAAGTTCGGGCCGGCCGAACTTAGCTGCTTTTTTACTTGTTTCCTTTTAATTTACTTAAAAGATTAAATGCTTTTTCGGATATAGGATCGTTTTCTAGTCGAACGTAGTATTTCTAAGATGTTTGGCATTGGAAATATGCCATATCGGTCCACATTTAGGTATAACCCCCACTAATGGTATCTTCTGACTTTACATATTTCAAAGGATGTGGTACTAAATAAGCTCCAATTTGATTTTTCAGGTTCTAGGAGATTTGTTTTACTGACCAATGTAGGTAAATAATTTCTATCATAAATATCTACAATTAAGCGGAAATTTGATATGTCAGGCACTCGGTGGGTAGTTCAACTTCTCGCAAAAAATATTCATAATGTGTTCACTTTTCGGCAAAACCCCCATATAATAGTGACTCATGTTTTTTGCGTAGCCGATATAGAACAGTGCATACTGACATTTAGTGTAATTTCATATGTCGCATACTTCATGGGTAAATTACCCGCTTTCAAATATATTCAATATAGGTATATAACCGAACTTCCAATTTGTGTAGATTTTAAATTCAGAAGATTTTGCCATATGCCAATTTTAATATTCTACTAAAAGGAATTGTTTCCTCAATTCACTACTTCAATCAGTCTTAGAATTTTGAAGATGGGCAATAACATTCCACTCCTATTGGTTGCCTAGAGCAATCGAAATACCCAATGGTGTCCACAATTTGCTCATTATATTATATTATTTCTAGCATAATATCAGCCTCCTATACAAAAGTCAATTATTATTCTTCCACCATAGTATGGAGGGTACTATATTATATACTATAGCAGGTACAGGTCTTCGTATAGCCCCCAAGTAACGATAACTCCCAATATTCAGTATTTTGATGATTTTAGCGACATTATTTACCGCATCTGTTTCAAATTTCGTATTCAAAGTTCCTAGTGGGTACTACAACCTACGACAGAAAATTGCGATTTCACGTCGTCGTATTTACCCCAAGTAAAGGTAACTTCCTATATTCGGTATTTTTAAGATTTTAACAGAATTTTTAACGGATTCTATTTTTTCTTTGGAAATTTCCAATTTTTTCACTTGTTTTTTTTTTAACTTTATACATTTCAATATGTCTGCCAATCCAATGTGAGAATGGTACCTCCACCATAAACGTTCAACATTTTAAAACGCATAATTCACAAATAAAGATAAATATATTAAATGGTTCCCCCTTTTGGAACATACACTACAAATTGGAAAAATCTGAAAAAAATGAATGTCATTTAAATATAATTATTAATTATATTAAATAGGTCGAAACTTCATTAAATTTAAATTGGTTAAAAATTTCAACTCGTTGGGCGAAATCCTTGAAAAAACATGTGTGTGGTTTTTCAGAGCGAATGATTACACACATAACGTAATATTTATGATCCAACGTAGATCGTGCTTCTGATTTACCTTGGAGGTGCTGACCAATTTTGATCATCTCGATCCTAGTTCGACCACACATTGTTAAATACAGTACCATTTCATTTGTTTCTTAAAAAAATTTGAGAAAAACGAAACGTGAAATGTACTCACAATCAAATTGTTAGTTATTTAATTTATTTAATTGAAATATTTATAAAAATATAATTACAATTTTTATTCTTTTTTCTTTAGTTTTATTTTTTATTATTTATAATTCGTTGTTACTTAGCTCTAAACAAATTAGAAATAATAAAATTTTTGCTTTCTCAAAATGTGCTGTTCTTTATATAAATAACACTGATAACAATAATAACAAAATGAAACAAATGATTGGAAATAAATTCTCCTAATGACGAATGTGAATTCCTATGAAACGAATCTTGCCTATCATTAATACTTATATATATTCTTGTTTTGTATAACTTATTGTAGAAGTCACCAACACATCCACCCACACAAACAATTACGTTTACACCACTTCATCAAACCAGCAATAAAAATAAATACACCTGGCCAATTAACTTGGATTGTAAAATAATTATAAATTCTGCTTTATATTATGATTATGATACTAATTTTTTCTCTCCTATATAATTTCTTCTTCACTCTCTCTCTTTAATAAATGCTTAAAACACCACCACCACCACCACCACCAAGTTATTGTTTTTTTTTATTTTTTTTTTTATTTTTTTTTTAATTTGCAATTAACTAAAGGAAAGAAATTTAAAAATTATTTAATTTTTGGTATTTCCTAAATTGAAATGACCGTAACCTTATTGCCGCCCTTAAAAAAATAATAACATAAAAAAGGAAATAAAACGATGTTGTTATATCTTGTTAATTAAGCTACCAAAAATACCAGCAGCCATTTTAGAATCACTAAAAATAGTTTTTCTTTATTTTTCCTTTTGGATTTTTTTTTTTAACAAAAAAAGAAGAATTTTTTCTTGCATTACAACAAAAATGAACAAAACGATGTTTATGAATTTCATTCTTTCTTTTCTTCTTAATTTCAGTTACCAGAAGATGAATGGTTAGCAGCAAATTTATTATGTTAGTTTTACACAGTCGGTTAAGGAAGAGCAGGAAGAAGAAGAAGTAAAAATTAAATGCAGTTATTTAAGAAAAAAATGAAACACAAAGATACCAAACCCAAAAAAAATAATAATAATATATTCATAGAAAATAACAAAGAAATTAGAGAAAACATTGTTAAACCAAAAAACCCATACACACACTTACCTACATAGACAAAAATAATGGAGATGAAGAAAAAACAAAACAGATAAAGCAGAAATTATATAAAACTAAAATAAAGCAAAGCAAAAAAGAAATAGTTTAGAAAACAACTAGAAATAACTATTATACAATACCAAAATATACACATACACACACATTGAAACAAATGTAGCTAAAAAAAAAAAAAACAAACAAGAAGAATATATGAATGAAATCTTACCAACAATAAAAATCATAAATAGGGAAATACCAAATTTAAGTTATGTTTTAAAATGAAAAAAAAAAAAACCAACAATCATTCACACACATTCATACATAGTATACGTATACGTATACTCCCATATACACAATGACAGCAATAACAAAAGATCCAGTAAAGGATAGAAATATATATAGATGTAATTCCCATAAAATCAACATAAATACAGATGTAATGTAATGTGAGCAAACACACACACGCATACAAACATCTAAAAGAAAAATAGAATAAAAGTCGGTGGTAATAACACTTATACACATACACGTAAAACCCATACAATTATACATAAACATATATATATATATTTACATAAATATTTATATAAGTAATTTAGATATTATAGTATGATTAAAAACAATTTCCATATAGGGTGCTCCAAAAATTAATGAACAAAAATGAAAGGTGTACTAGTGATAGCTGACAGCGAAGGATATCGAAAAAATTATATTACTTGGTTTTCGATTTCGAAATCTGTATAAGGAAAACATGGGTGTTTAACTACTGCAAATGACCAATTGGCAAATTCTGGCAATAGAGGACCTCGAATTGGCGTAACCATCTTTATGTGATAACTACAATGGAAATAAATTCAGATCTGTAAAACGGTAAGAATCGTCTCAATTAATAGTAATAATGGGCGTAGAGAAAATTTGTTCATATTTCAACAGTTCACAATAATTGGATCTAATATTATGGGGCTTTTGAAAATTTCATTGTGAAATGAAGACATCTCTATGTAAATTTAATAACTTTTTACTTCAAAATTTTATAAAAAATATCGGTCCAAGGATTTAAGTAAAATTTTCGGCTCCTGATGTGGGATGGAAAAATTCCACCTGAAAAATATAACAATGCCAAAAATAGATTTTTTTTAGATTCATTGGAATTAAAACGGGACATATTGCTTTTCGAATAGTCCCCATATTTGCATCAATCCCAATTTAAGTATTTTTATACCCTCTACCATTCTATGGAGGGTAACTTTGTCATTCCGTGTGTAACTATTCGAAATGTTTATACTAGACCCTAGAAGGTATATATATTCTGGATTAGCGTGAAATTCGAAGACGATCTAGCGATGTCCGTCTGTCTGTCTCTCCGTGTGTTGTAATCACGCTATCTTTCGAACGAATTGAGATAGAAGGCTAACATTTTGCATACATTCATAGTTTACCAGTAGGCAGGTTAAGTTCGTAAATGAGCCATGTCGGTCCACGTTCTCGTATAACCCCCATATAACGGCACCTCCCGATATTCGGTATTTTGATTATCTAAGCGAAATTATTCACCAGAGTTGTTTCAAATTTGGTATTTGAAGTTTGTAATGGGTACTACAGCCTATGACAAGAAATTTCGTAAGCAGGTCCACATCTTCGTATAGTCTCCATATAACGGTTTTCATTTAAGTGGTAGTTTCCGAAAGCTTTTGAAAATTTTTCAAGTTCCTTCCAAACGGTGGAGGGTATTGCAAGGAATAACCATTATAGTTGAAAACAAAACCTAAAAGAACCATCTGTTTATCAGAAGTTAGAACACCACTTCGTGGAACATGTTCAACGTAGGTCTATGTTTCAATCTAGCGCTCCTGCATAAAATAAGCTACTGATTTTATTAATGTCACGGATTTTGGAGATTTCAAAACTGATAACGGAAGTGTTTTAAAATTTAAGTGTTGGAACAAGATCAATGTGTCCCGAACTTTTGAATTATTTTATATATTTCTATTTTGGGGGCAAAACAACCGATTACGGCCACTTTCTTCAACTTTCTGTGTCCCCGAACTTTTGAATTATTTTATATATTTATATCTTGGGGAAAAACTACCGATTACGGCTACTTTCTTCAACATATTATCTCAGGAAATCTTGTAGATGTGCCGGATTATCGGCCTTTGATAATTATATCGTGAAATCGGAGGGTGAACCGATCATATTAATTCAAATACGCCATCATAATAAAAATAAGGAAGTTTACTCTACACTCAATTGTTTTTTGTAGAAGCGTGAACACTCCTATACGAAAAGTGAGAATCGGAATCACGAAGTTCGAACTAGAGTAAGAGAAACAAATACAAAGAAAACTACCAGTACAGGCGAAAATGCTTGTTTGCTTGTAACAAAAACAAGTAAAAAAGTAATTAACTCGGCCAGACCGAACTTTGATACCCTCTACCATGGAAAATATGGTGTCAAAACGAGGATCTATAAATTAAAAAAATTGAAAATTCCACCAGAATACTGAGTATAGATTGGTGCTATGGAAATAAAACGAGGAACCTCATTTTATAACCATAGTACGAGACGCAAGAGATTTTTACACATTTAAATGCTGGAGTCCTCTAACGGTAGCTATTTGTGGGCTTCCAGCCAAATATAAAGAAAGCACGCTTGAATTCCATCACGAATAACTTTTTTTCTGGAAAAATCTCACCAAAATGCTTTTGTACGCTTCTAAACAATATAATGAGCTGTCACTGGAATAATTTTAACAACTATCAGACGAGTGGTTAGAAATGACAGCAGTCTGAAGTTGGTTGCAGTTGTATATCAACAACTGTTTGAAAGGCATTACAAACTTAATTTAAAAAAATCAGAAACAATTGGAAAGCATTCAGTATGCTGGACATAGGGAGAATACTGGTATATGGGGGATATACCACAATGTGGACCTATCCTAACTGTTTGTTGCAAGGCGGATCAGAACCCGTTACCGCTTTGAAAATTCCGTTCCGTTGAAAATGTGCCGAAAGTCGTCAAAACGCTTAAAATGAGGTGTACCGTTATATGAGGCTATTCCACAATAAGAACCTAGCAAGGTCCAAATATTTTCTTTTTAAAATTGTTCATTTCACATTTGCCTATATCAAGAATTGAGTCCCAGGTCTCACAAGCCTAAATATGAACTGATGGTGTAAAAATTAAATGTGTTAAAATGCAATAGATATTATCAACCACCTTAGTGAGAAATGAAGATGAGAAATTGTTTGCAATGACAGATGACTGAATGAAATCAATTTAACCAACTGAAACGAAAAACTTTCTTAAATCCCAATGTCAGCTACCACTGCTCATTTTTTCCTACGGCTTTCATATGTTTTTGTACATTCACTTTTGTTGCACCCCATATAAAAATAGTATATACATATGTAAACAGTTTCAAATGAAACAAACGAATAATAATTACCAAACAAACACAACCAGCTATGAAAAATTAATTAAAAAACAATCAACATTCCATCGAATGATATTAATAATTAATATTATGATTATGATAACCTAACGGCGATTATGATGATAATGACGATGAAAGCCCATACAATTCTGGTAGTTGGCAATGCATTTTAAAGGATATTAGGAAAAAAAGGAACACACAAGCACAACAAGAGCAGCAACGGTAAAAATAGTCATTAAGCAAAAATCAAAAGAACATTGACAACAAAATAAGCTAGAAAATGAACAACAACAACAGAAGCAGCAGCAGAAGCAAACCGGCAACAGCAACACAAATGTCCGCATAATTATTTAAGTTAAGCATAAATACATTCATACCTATATGTTTTATAGAACACTACATATACAACAAACATAGGCATACCACATACTCTCATACATACATATATATAAATATGAATGAAGAAATGGCAAAATAAGAGAAAAATCGAATAGCAAAGTAAAACATAGGCAATTGATGATTAGATGATTTGTACGTTTAGTTTAGTTGGATAAGATACAGAAAAAAAAAACAAAACAAAGAAAATAGTAAATAATTAATGATAGTGGTAATGATACTACAATAGAATAATCTACAAATAAATAAAACGGAAATTTATATTACAGCAAAATACAAAAATACATATATTTCTAGGCATATGCATACATATAAATATACATAGAATATAATATATAATATTGATATGACTAAATTAAAATGTAATAAGTATAAAAAGAAAATAAAATAAAAGAGAAAACCAACACACACAAATACCCTTAAAATATAGATATTATGTACACAGATACCACAATACATAGCCTATATGTAAAAAAAAAATAAAAACAAGAAACGCAAAAACAAAAAAAAAAAAAAACATTACAACATAGATGAAAATCAAAACAGTATAAAAGTAAAAAATATACCCAAAATATATATACAAAATTGGTTTAAAATATAACTACAAAATACATAGGCACCTATTATTATAAATGTTTGTACAGAAATATATCTTAAAAAATGAAAGCAAAGAAAACAAAAACCAAATAAATAAACTAAAAATAAAAAAAAAAACAATCACATGAAAAAAAATCCCCAATTATCCATGTTTATTGCCAGAACCATGGCTGCTGTAATATTAAAAGGGAGTTGGTATGTTTTAGTTAATGCTGGGTTAATACGATATCTCTGGGGGGAGTTGTTTTAGTTTTTCGATTTTAAAAACTTATATTCCATAGATGGGATTTGTTTTCGATGATGTTCAAACCTTCGTAATGAAAACCATTAAACCATTGAAATAGTTCGGAATGAAGTACTACTTTCTCTGCTTCTGCAAATGTAGTCATGAAATTAACATTCTGTTCATATTTTCAACAACATCCGAATTGCATGGAAATCACTGTTTTTTTTATATCCTCAGTCATATACGGTCAAAACGTGGCTAGTCAAAATAACGATTTTAGACCCTAGGTCTCTTTGGACCAAATCCGTTTCAGGACAGTTGGTGTCGATCTAGTCCGTCCGTCCGTCTGTCTGTCTGGCTGGTGCACACCATAACTCTCGAAGGGAGTATCCGATTTGATCCAAACTTGGTACATCGTAATAATTTTGTCAAACCTAGATCGAGTTCAGAGATGGGCAATATCGGTCCACTCCATCTGGTACCTCCCCCACAAAAGATCGAAATTCTCAAAAAAATATATTTTCTGCACAGAAAGGGATATGATAATCCTACTTTGCTCCATCTTTCCAAATCCTAATATTTGACTCAGTTCTCGGTCAGGTGTGAAAATTGACAATATCAATTCACTCCATCAAGTACCTCCCCCAACAAGGGGTCACAAATTTTAATAATTACAACTCTTATAAAATGTGATGTAAGAGTCCGATTGTCTTCAAATTTCTCACATCCCAATATTTTTATTAACCCAAGGTCTGGTGTTAAGATGGAATAACCACTCGTCCACTCGTTCTGGTACCTCCCCAACAAAAGGTCGACATTTTCAAGAAAAAAATATTTTCTACACAGAAAGGGAAGCAATAGTCCGATTTTGCTCCAAAATTTCATATCCTAATATTTGTCTCAGTTCTCGGTCAGGTGCAAAAATGGATAATATCGGTCCACTCCATCAAGTGCTTTCCCCACAAAGGGTCAAAACTTGGAATAATTATAAATCTTGTAAAATGTGATGTGGGAATCCGATTGTCTAAAAAATTTCACACATCCCAATATTTTTTATGAACTCAAGATCTGATGTTAAGATGGAATATATCTGTTGATTTGTTGTGAAGGTGACATAAAGGGTCACAATTTCCAATACTTATATTGGTCATAACTTGCGAAACAAGTCGTAGATTCTTTACAACTTGCTATATCTAAATATTTTTCTTTACCAGAAATCCGATATGGATATGGATATATGGCATAAAATTTGATATTTTTCGATTCGATTTCGATTTCTTAAAAATTTTACGCATACCAATATTTTTAGCTGTATTAGATGAAGTATGAAAATGGAATACTTCGGCCCGCTATATCTGTTACCTCTCGCACATTTCTAAAGGAAGACATTCACTTTCCCGAAGTAAAAAAAAAGAATGTGGAGGTGCAAAATAGAGAACATCTAAGTGAACAAATCTCTTGTTTGGCAACCTACTATTTGACGAACAATTAAATAGAGCAACAATAAAATTTGGTTATTGGTGTTCATTTTCAAAATACCATGTATAAATCCAATTTCGAGTTTTAAGTAAATTGTCGATTGGCCAAAAACTATGCATTTAAAAGTATTTTCTCAACCTTAACTGGTTGCAGAGACAAATAGAATTTTCCTAGCCAAAGCAAGACATTGCCTCCTCTCAAAACCAGAGATAAGGCGGTGGCATATATCATAATTTTACCGCTTGATCTTACATTACTCTGTTTTCCAATTCAATATTCGTTATATTAAGAATTATTCATTTTCTAAGTCAACGTTTTTCAATAATACGTCCTTAAAAATACATTATAAATTGATGCTAGGGAAAATCTGCCCAATCGGGGAAATCGGACTGAATCGTTTTCCTATGATGAGGGATTTTAAGCTTTTGAAAGTTTGTGGTCACATTTTCCAGCGATTTGATATTCATACCTGAATTATTCATATTTTTATATATTTCAGAGAAATTCTAAACAAGTTCCAGCCCCGATATAACGGTACACTTTATTAATATATATTATTGTAAGATAATTGACAGGAGTTTTTTTCTTTTGCAACATTCCTTTGCAATTTGGCGAGGAAATACTAAAATCTTGTTCTTTTTTAATCTCAAAGAATATAATATATTAACAAAACTTGGGTTCGATTTCAAAAAAAAGTCATAAACTCCCTCCGTGATTCGATTTTATCAAATATTGAGAAAGCCATTTTATACTTTAAATGTAAGAATTGGAGAAGGTGGTTCAGCCTGAATGTTCATTGGTAGTACCCCTGCTGTTTCATAATACTCATTCTAAATTGGAAAAAGAGAAGAGATTGAGGCAAAATAAGGGAATTAAATGGTAGTCCACGACAAAAAGGCTTCGTGGCTACTTTAAGAATTACTGCAGTCTCTGTGAGATTAAAGGGAGATCATGTATTGTTTGCTCTCCCACGAGCCACAAGTCATTGATGAGAGTTGGACAGTGGTAGGGCAAGTGTTCGACTGTCTCAATTCTCTCCAGCAATCAATAACGCCGCAACTTCATTGGCTCTGTCGCTGCATTGAACGGTGATGATACCTACCACAAGTTTAAAGTCAGGTTTCACCATGGGACGATTAAAAAATTATTTCTATTTGATGTGTTCAAGTGTTTGGCATTGAAATCTGGTGCAAAATGTAAAACTAAACGTAATGGGTGAGACATTGTAAATAGATCGAATTTCTTTCATACACTTAGATGCCAAATACAGCCATGAGATACACCTGTGAATTTATGGTAAACTTTGAAGCCGCTGTGTAATATTTTAGGTCCACCGAACAAATGATTGGTTAAAAAAGAATGGGACAAAAGTTGTATAAAATTATGATGGAGAAACACAAAAAAAAAAAAAAAAATGGTCATTTGATCATCGATTTCGCATGATAAATCGGTTAAAATAGATTGGGACAAAATATGGAGAATAATATCACGGAAAATTTTCAAAAACAAAAAAAAAAATACATCGAATCCGCGTGATCTAATATTTGTACTGAAAATGTTCTTATAAGAAACGAAAAAGGAATATATTGACATTTTCAGAAAGGTCTTAGAGTTATTCTTGCATGTGCTAAGGTATACACAGTATGTATTCCCGTAAAAATAATTATAGATTTTATCTTTTCTACTGCAAGATGTTGGTATAAAGAACACCAGAGATCCTCTCAATAACGGAATCTCTCAATATTTTTTTTGTTTTCAAAAGATTTATGTATTTATAATTACTACTTAAGACGATGCGTTGTTTTTAGGCCCGACGAATTTTATTCTTTCAAGGGATATAATCTAAATATTTGTTCCTCATATTTCCTTTAAGGAAAGCTTTTCTAACAAATTAATTATGTCGAAATAAAATTTTTCACAAAATTTAAAACTTTATATAAATTATCGAATAACATTACCCAATAAAACAGACTTGACAATGTTAATTCGTGGTGTATAAGTTATGTGAACATTTATTTGCATGTTAACCATACGCCCCATGTACCCCTTATAAATTCTTATTAACCAGCATTAAACAAAACATTCTTGTCACAAAATCTTAAGGGAAACAAACATGCCCAACAAATAAACAACAACAACAAAAACTAGAAAATCAATTTCCAGCATTAAAATCTTGTGTTTGTTGGTTGTCATATTTTTATAAAATTTTTATTTTCATTTCTTTAGTTCACTGCCACTATAGAAACTTTTTTATTTTTATAAGAATTTTTATAAAAAAAAAGATATGAAATCAACAAAAATACAAAAAATGTAAAACTCGATGAACATACATCTTTTATATGCATACAAAAAAAAAAAAAAAAACAAAATAAGTCTATTAAAAATACGGATTAATTTGCTTCCTTAAAATTTCATATGGTATATTGTTTTGTTAAAGATTTAGGCCAAATGAAAACTAAAGAAATCGCAAAAAAAGAAACTATATAAATTCTGTTGGAAAAACCTATAATTTTAAATTACGAATGGAAGAACATAAAGAAAGAGTGCTACATAAATGTGTTAAAATTAAAAAAAAAAATAAAAAAAGGATAAAATTAGTTTTAGTGGAGAAAAAAAAATAGTCACACAATATAAATGAAACTACAACTTGAAAATATATTATTTGAACAAATACATATACAAATAATTTGTGGAATACCAGAAAAAATAACAAATAAATAAATCAGCATTAAAATGAAATGAATTATATATTATTGTAAAAAAAAATACCGTAAGGCATAAAGTGTTATCACAAATTACAGCTGATGCAGATGAAAAAAAAAACACAAACAACAACTACACTTAACTACTTGTGTGTGTATGTTACCAAAAAAAACTTAAACTCCCTCTTATCGCGAGGACTACAAAATAAACGTATAAAAATATACCAAATATTTAGCCTAAACTAGTTTTAGTACCACAAAATAAAAACCTAAAAAACAAAACTAAAATATAAATAGAAAAAAAAAATACCAAATAATAAATGTGTTTTAAAACAAAAAAAAAACCATATTAGATGTATGTGAAACTTACATTTGTGTAATTTGTTAATTTATAACAAAAAACCTACTAATATTTTTGTTAAAGACCGAATGGAAAAACTTTATACTTTTTGTTACAAGGGAAATTCTAAAAAAAAAAAACAAAAACAAAACAAAAAATATACTAACAAATATTGGAAAACAAAACACAAACAACTATTATAGGCTATATTTGTAAAGAAAGCATGTTAAACATTAACAAAAAAAAAGAACACAAGCGGAGCTAAGTTGAAACAAAACACTCTAATGTAAGCTGAAATAAATTAGTGGTCAATGGCAGATTTTATTGATTTTCCAAAAATTAGTTATATAGCAATATTTAAAGCATTTTTTCAAATTCTATAGAACATTCCAAGACTTGGAATTGGACACTCTTTGTGGAAGTGTCATTATCTTACTATTGGCAAAAAGAAAAACAAGTAAATGAGTAGTAAGTTCGAGTAACCTCCACCATTTGGAACGAATCCACAAAAAAATAAAAAAATAAATAAATAAATAAATAAATAAAGTCCATCAAAAATTCTGTTAAAATCTTAAAAATACCGAATATTGGAAGGTGTCGATTGTGGCTAAATCATCAAAATACCGAATATCGGAATGTGCCGTTATATGGGGGCTATACGATATCGTCGACCAATATGTGGTCTACGAGAACAACGCAATGGAGGACCTACTCATGACTCCAATGGACATGAAGGTTCTTATAATCCTATGCTTTCCCTACTGTTCCTGATTGGGTGTTACCTTGTGGGTGATCCTAACCATTAAAAGTTGGAAAGAATTCCCCTAACCAGGCGTGTCAGGAATGTCCTGAGTGGTATATGGGGTTTTACACTATTCTCGCCTTGACGGTTCCAACCATGGTGCACAATTGCACCGGGTTCGCGATACAATGCTTCGGCCAATGCCTCTTTGGTTTTACCCGGAAATGGGACTGCGGAGATGAGAACACAGCTGAATGTGCAGGTCGAGGGACACATTCGAGAGCTTGGTTAAATTGTTGGCGTAAGCCACAGCTCTCTGCCATATATTGCAATGTAGGAACAAAGTCCTCAAGGCATCAGTCGGTAGCGCTTGGGCGCGGATATGTAATCTTTGTTGACATCTTATGAATTGATTGGTCGGCTTGTGGTTAGCTTTGCGGCTACATGGAGATGTATTCAGATCTACTCATGACTACAGTCGACATGAGGAGATGAAGGTTCTTATAATCATATGCTTTCCTTGCAGTACCTGCTTGGGTGTTACCATTATAAGTTGGAATGAATTCCCCCAACCAGGTGTGTCAGGAATGATCTGCGTGATATAGAAGTCAAGGGGGTTTTACACTATTCTCGCCTTGAGGGTTCCAACCATGGTGCATAATTGCGCCGGTGTCGCGATACAATGACCTCTTATAAATTGTTAGATCGGCCAGCTTTGCGGCTCGATTGTGGTCTGCGAATACGAGTATAGCGCAATGAAGCTGTAGGATGTGAGGAAATTAAGGTTCTTATAATGATATGCTTTCCTTACAGTACCTGTTTGGGTATTACGCCCATCCAGGCGTGCCAGGAATGACCTGTGTGGCATAGAAGTCAAGGGGGTTTTATACTATTCTTGCCTTGAGGGTTCCAACCATGGTGCATAATTGCATCTGGGTCGAGATACAATGCGTCGGCCAGTGCCACTTTGAATTTACCCGGAGATTTCTTAGAAAGTCGTAGCCCTCCATAGAGTTCTATGAAGAGTCTCCGGCCAGACTTCGTAGTCGAAACTACCACCAGTTCGTGTTCCATACAACACGGGACTGGTCACCTAAAATGAGGCACGGTCAGAAAAAAGGATGAGTGCAACAAAAAGTACCACACTGATGGAGTGATTGCATAGACTTGCTGCATGATCAATAGAGAGAGAGAGAGAGAGAGAGAGAGAGAGAGAGAGAGGTCCAACGATACAAGAACCCTTTATAACTGGAAGACTATCAGACATGTCTAAAGTATACTGATGCAGTCGCCGCCGATGTAGTTAACCATTACATTATAAGTGCCATACTCGGAGTTTGTCTGCTAATTTTTCAAAAATGTTCCGCAATTGTATTCGTTATTTTTTAACATATTTCATATTTTCCGAACAAAAATGAAAAAAATTATAATAATTTATGATTCAGCCACAAAAAGTTAAACCTTTAAAACCACTTTACAAAAATAATTTTACCGGAAAATCATTAAGTTATGTGCTGGCCACTAATGGTGTATATATTAAATAATTATATACACATACACACTTAAATATTATGAAAAAAAAACTTGTTGACCAAAAACCAAACAAACTAAACAACTAAAATAAATATGTATTTGAAACGGAAAACAAAAAATAACGAAACCTTAATTTGTCAAATGCAAAAGAAAAAGGTTATAAATAAAAAATACCGCATAAGAAACTAAGTATTTAGTTATAAATAAATGCGTAAGCAGAAAACATTAAAATAAGATACTAAGAAGAAATTAAAAAAAAGTATGAATGAAAAAAACTAGTTGATTTGTTTGTTGATGTTTGAGCTACATATCAGTAAAGTATGACAAAAAAAATAAAATAAAAACTAAAAATAATTAAGCAGTTAAAACAAAACTGCAAAAAATATTTAGCAAATAATGAAAATGAAAAAAAGAAACACATATTAATTTAAGTAAACTAATTTAAAGAAAAGATAAAGTATATTTTAAGATGTCATATTTATATATGGTGTATTGAAAAGCAAAATTATCAGATATATACTTAAACTACTAAAATGAGAAGTAAAAGAAAAGTAAAATAGCAGAAAACGAATTACTATTATAAGAAATAAAAAACAACAAAAACAAAAAAATGATACTATAAAATGGTGAATACACATTGGACATTCTGTTGAAAACAAAAAAAAAAAAAAAACAAGCAAATTATGATTTATAAATTATTTTATATGTGGCATCTGCAGATATGTTAATAAACAAATATTAATAAAGAAATCAGAACAACAGCAACTGCAACAACAACAAAGAAATCGTCTGAATTCACATGAAGATGATTACTCATATACAAAAACAAAAAACAAACCAACCAACAAAAATATACACTTAAACAAAAAAGCGACACTTACTCACACATAAACATCAATAAGCCCCCAAGGAACACAAAATAACAAGAACAAAAAGAAAAACAACAACAACCAAAACAATTGTATGCTGTAGTACTATTACAATTATTTAGCAAAATATATATACATAACTATATACTATATATATATTATACATATTATATATATATTTTATCATATACAACAACCAAAAAAATAAATAAAAAATAAAAACAAATATAAAAAAAATACAAAAATAAAGTATAAATATTTGAATAAAAACCAAAAGAAAAATTGGATGGATTTTTTATATACAATTTAATCAAAAGATGAGGAAAACCAAATAATGTTTAACGAAAAAAGGAACGTTCTAAATTTTTGAAATATATTTTCATAGTTTTTTTTTTATTATTGAAAAAAGATTAAATAATTTGGAAGCTTATTTGCAGCTATATGGAGTAAGGCTGCCTATTTATAGGAATTGGTTGCAGTTTAGTTTTTTGTTTATTAAGAACAAAACAAAGGTAAACTATTATATGATTTTAGAAAAAAGTTAAATAAAAGGAAATGTTTTAAAGAAATTCTTTGGAAAAGATGAGGAACATATTGGATCGAGTGTATGTATGTATGACCCTTGAATGTCGCAGTACAGATGTAAGTGAAAAGGTTATATTTTTGTATGACTTTCCTATATTAAAGCCGGAACAAAAAAGTTGTAAATCAACATAATGTTAAATAAATATAATGATACTTCTTGGTACATTCCTCAAATTTCCAATGGAATTTCCAAAAATATTCGGATAAGAAATGGAGGTTTGGTATTTGAACATAGTACAGTTTGCATTGTACACATAACATAGGATTGGTGCGAATGGTCTTAAAATGTATTATTTGTGGAATATTGAGGAACATTGGATCTGGAAATGTTAAGGGTTCACTGGAAATAATGCTTCCATAAAACATAAATTGAAATTCCCATAACTCTTTAAATGGCTAAACTATTTCAATAGATAAATGTTGCATTTACTCTGAGAGAACTTGTATGGCCAGTCTGTACATGAACGGAAATATAATAAAATATCAAAATTCCCTCAAAATCAACATTTTATCCAGTCAAGTTCTATTATTTTTAACGCGGGCAAATGCGCCAATTAAAAGTGTTGGTGTATGTGAAAGGGTTTCAAGTAAAGGTTTGTAAAAGTAGCACAATGTAGTACTATGTTGCAGGTTCTTGAAAACAACTTTTTTCCAGAATCTGCATGAGTATATTAGTTTTGCAGTTTTTGATATTATAAAAGAAAATCGATTATTGTAGAAAAACCTTTAACATTCTTGCAGTTCTGGAACAGAGGATTTGAGTGTTTGCAACTTAAAACAAATTTAAAATAATCCAATACTCTGTTCAACGCTGTTGACACAATTGTAAAATGTGGTGCCTCACATGGTACAAATATAATAATATTGTTTTCCAATCATGAATATTATAAATTCTTAATTTCTATTAAAAGAAAAAAAATTGCAAGTTTGAAATTGATTTTTCTTTTTTTTTTTTTTTTTTGGAATTTTCTGAAAGAAAAAAAGTTTTAAAAATATTGGAAAACATTAAATAACATCCACATCTCAAAAAAATAAATAAGAATGGGGCTGCACTCACTTTCTCTCCTGGCCACTAAGATCGGAAGCCTCCACGTTTTCCTCAATGACTTCCTCTTCTCTGTTCACTTATCTCTTGTTGTTGCATATGAAGGCAATATATAATGCTTGAAGCATTAATTTTTTTTTTGTTGGACGAGATATTTATCAGCGTGGTGGTTGTCATATTCATCTAATTTTGTCGGCCATTGTGCGCTGGAATTGAATCGAGAAACCTCAGTATGTAACCATTTTAGAGTGTGATGGTGCTTATTCCAGTTAGAATGTCCAAGGTCTGCGGCCAAAATATTTGCGTGCCTACACCATCACCGTGGCCGGCGCTTGAGTTCTGGTGGTCAACTGAAGGTGCACATTTTCACCTCACCTCTTTGGCAAGTCAACACGATCATTTTGTTTGTTTACAAACAGCTGGTTAACGAATGTTTCCTTATCGGAGAAAACCAAATTCGGCAGTTCACCACTTTCAGCTAAGCGAAGCAAACCTTTAGCTCTTTTGAGTCTATTATCTTTCTGTTGCGGTGTAAGTTCTTACACTTTTCGGAATTTTAATGGTTTTACCCCGAGCTCATTTTTCAATATTTGCCGAATGAAATATTGCGATATGTTCAGCTTACGAGCCATTTTTCGGCCACTGTGAGGTGGGTTTCGCTGAAGTTGCTTCTTTACTTTACTGAATGGACCATTTCCTTGACGTAGGGCTACGCTACCAGTATCACTGCAATGAGCGATGATATGAGATACAAAACATTTATTCATATTTAAATGATGGAGTGGTCTAACCATAGCCACTTGTGGTTTTCCAGCCAAATATAAAGAAATTATACTATCACGCCTTCATTCCATCACGAATAACTTTATTTCTGGAAAATTCTTACAAAAATGCTTTTGTACGCTTGTAAGCAATATAATAAGCTGCCACTGGAATAATTTTAACAGCTGTCGGACGAGTGACTTAGAAATGACAGCAGTCTGAAGTGTGTTGCAGTTTTTTCATTTCACCCTGTAATGTGACATTTAGAAAAAAAAATCAGTATAGGTTCATGTAAAGGAATGTTTGGGATTTGATGGTAGGCTATTCGTCCATAAATAATAATTTAAATTTGCTTCATGATCAAATATATATCTGATCAAGCTTTCTTATTTATTCAAATGTCATTCTTTTCTTATATTCGATTTTGTGGAACCTCAACCAGGGTCTGGTTGGACTTCAATTCCGGAGGGATTTTGAAAAATACCTTAGCCAAGTCAACTGAGTAAAGGTAAGTCATAACTCTTAAAATCTAAGAAAATCGAAAACTCCATTATGACTGTAATATGTTAAATTAAGCATACGTACCCCCCCCCCCCTTTTGTCCTTTTAACATAGAATATATGCTACTGGTTTCCTATAGGCAAACAAGCTTCGTACCCTTTCACCTGTAGGTCGTTTTCAAAAACTAATGAAGCTTTATAAGTGGAAAACCTTCTATTTATAAAGGGACCTCATAAGAATTTTCTATGGCTAAAAGATTTTATTGTTCAGTAACTTATGTTGCGACGAGAACTTTTTAGTGACTTCTGGGGCTGGAAGGTCCTTTCATCTACGATCTACGTATAGTCTCCACTAAATATGTATATTTCTGATGATTTTATCAGCGATGAAGGTATGATATATGGCTAATTTATAGCTAGCTAACTTCAAATATTGTCTGGATCCCCTGTAACTGGAAAGGCTTAGGAAGAATTTCTAATTGTCTACTGTGGCTAGGAATTATTCTTAAACCTTAAAAGGTGTCCTTAAATCTTATATTGCCAGAGGGCGGCACATAGGTTTGGACTTTTATATATTAAGTAAAATTTGTGGCATTGCCTTTCAGGCGATCTTCTTATAGTCTCTACTGTATATGTCAATTCCTGATGATTTTCTTAACGATGAAGGTATGATATATAGCTAATATATAGCTAGCTAGCTTTAAACATTGTAGGGATCCCCTATAACTAGAAGGGCTTTGGAAGAATTTCTAATTGTCTACTGCGCCTAGTATTTCTTCTTAAACCTAAGCAGGTGTCATTAGGTCTTATATTGCCAGAGGGCGGCACATAGGTTTGGACTTCTATAGCCTAAGAAAAATATGTTGCATTGCCTTTCATTGCCTTTCAGTCGATCTACATAAGGTCTCCACTGAAAATGTCGATTTCTGATGATTTTCTCAACGATGAAGGTATGATGTATAGCAATAATTATTCTTTACCTCTTTTCTAAATGATGCTAAAACTGATATTTACCTAAACAGGTATCATTAGATTTTATATTGCCTGAGGGTGCACATAAGTTTGGACTTCTATAGCCTAAGAAAAATGTGCTGCATTGCTACGAAACTTTTAAAAAGTTTCGTTTGTTGAATGACTTTCAAATAACATAGGGAATATATTTTCGAATACAGAACTTCTACAAACATTTGACTGTTAAAATTTTAAGACTTTTAAAATGGTAATACAACACTGGTTCTTCACACTACAAGTGAAGCATCAGCACTAAAGAAGAATTTTGTTCTTTTAACAGTTGTTAATGGTGAGATCATGAATATACCTAACTTTACTTCGCATGGGGACCCCTTTTGCATTTTACTTAGTAGCAAAAAGGGGTCCCCATATCTGATTTGTGAATATGCAGCGAGTTTATAAGCAAATATTTTTGCAATGAAAATTTTAAAATGTTAATCTAATGTTTGTACGAGGTTGCCTTCTTCATTTCATGCATGTATGGACGTATAAAATATTTGGTAAGATTTATGTAAATCAATGCAAAATGTTCCTCTAGATTGACTGACTGTCTCGAAACAAAAACCTCTAAAAAACGAAAGTCAAAATACCAAACCTTCCTCGAACAGAGAAAACCCGATTCGGAACAGGTTACAAATATTGAGTTCATTTAACTTCCCAATAGGTTGTATAAATTTCAAATTTTAATCCACAAAATTCGTTTAGTTTATCATTTAAGTTACAACTTCAAATCAAAACGAAACTAAAACTAAACAAACAAAATTAACAAAGCATTAGTCAATTTTAAAGAAATAAATGAAAAAAAATCTATGAAACCAAAAGATGTTTTCAATTGAATTACAAATATACACAAATACATACACAACCAAGAGAAGACAAACTCACTTTCACACACACACACTCACATAGACACACACTCAAAATGCAACAACAATGAATCCAAAAAATGTCAAATCAAATTTATACAAATACTGAAACCAAAACCAATCAAATGAAAGTATTACTTTTAAGTTAAAACTAGTTTATAAACAAATGAAAAATATAAAAATAAAATAAAACAAAACA